GTCAAGGAAACGGTGCGCCCTTGGTTAACAAGTGTGCTTAAAGATTTTTACAGGTAAACTCATACAATGTATTATGTCCATGAATCCATCTAAAGGTTTATTGTCCTTCTTCTAAACTTCCATTTACGTTACGTCCAAAAAAGGTAAGCATGTTGTCTACAATTTATTCCAAATACATCCAGAAGAAAAATTAACATCGTCTAATTTTAGCGTAAAACCCTGTATCAAAATAAAGAATGATCTATGCTTACAAGCCATGTGAAGGTAACAAAAATGAGCACATATGCACCCCGCATGATTTTACGGCTGTACCAAAGGCAATAAGATTAGTATCACACATAAGCTACAAGAGAAGGTCTGTAAGCATATTTTATATGGGGAATATTCCATTTAAAACAATGGTTTTATTAAATAAGATAGTATTGACAGACCCTGCTGCTATGTTTTTGAATTAAAATTTTATAAAAAAAAGATAGATGTTATAGTGATTGCGCGTGCGCGTGTGATTTAATTAATAAGTTGTTATATGTGTATATACTAGTAATAGTGATTTTAAGAGGGCATTATTAGATTTCGCCCTTTTCAGCTTCGTATTCAATAGTAGCTTGCTTTCGGTTGTATTCTTCAACTTGTCTGTTGGAACGAATACCAATTGCATCATCAGCAACATCATTGTCGTCATTCTTGTGGTGGAAAACATAGACGAGAACAGCACAGACGCCAGAAGCACAAGCAATACCAGTGTACATCCAAGTCAACTTAGGATCAACGTCAACAGGGACAAGAGCGAAACCGAGAATGGCAGCAAAACAGTTGGTGAACAAGAAGATGGCCATAACAATAGACTTCATAGATTGAGGAGCCTTCTTGTAAGCATATTCAAGACCGGTAATGGAGGCAAAGATTTCAGAGAAAGCAATGAATACATAAGAGGGGATCTGGTAGGCAACACTGATAGGAGGCTGACCAGCATCTGCTGCAGAGTAAATCTTGGCTTGAATACCAGCAGTGTAACCCATACCAACAGCGGCAAAAACGAAACCGAGCGTGATACGGAGGATAGGGCGCATGGGAAAACCAATACGACGGAGGCCAGGGTAGATAAGACGATCCATGATGGGAATGACAATAATCAAGACAAGAGGATCGATGTTTTGTAAAATATCAGGAGGGACTTGACCGGTCCACATTGTATTTGCTTGAGAAACAAGGTTACTGGTCATTTGGTTATAGCAAAGCCAGTAGATAGGATACCAACAAAAGACAACACAGGCGCGAAGGGCACGTCTCAATTCATCAACAAAGATATCATCCCAGGTGGCGGTTGCAGCCAAATTAGGGTGATCAATAGAGAGGTTTGAGGGTTTACAGGCTTCCAAGCCGCCCTTGACCTTGAGACTGTAGTAGAAGAGTTTACCAGCTTCGATAAAGATGGAGCCACGAGGAGGGGTTTGGATATATCTCTTACGACCCAAGACAACAGCAATGATACCAATAACAAACATCAAGGTAGGCAAGAGGTAAGCGGCCCAGAAACCAACGTTCTTTTCGATTTCAGTTGTGGCAATAGCAGAAAGAGAACCAACGTTGATACCCCAATAGAACATGTTGAAGATCTTTTGATAGGTGGCTTGAGGAGTGACAATGACACGTTCACCCTTCTCGGTAGTCTTCACGTAGGGAACCTTGCTTTGATACTGTTCGGCAACAAGAGGAGAAACGTTTGATTTGATACCACCAGTGCCTAGACCGACGATGATAATACCAACAATAAAACCGGGGAAAGCAGCACCATTGGCGATAGCGATAGGAGAAGCAGTAGCAGTCAAAATAACAAGACCAATGAGGTAAAAACTGGCAAAGAGAAGGATGGTACGGTACTTGCCGAGGTATTGATCAGCGACGATGGCGCCAATAATGGGAGTAATATAACCCCAAAATTGGAAAAAGGTGTTTAAAGCTGTAGCTGTTTGCTGTCCACGACCCAAGGCACCAGCTGTTTCGGCGGGATCTATGATAAGTGAGTTAATTTGAAAATTCTATTGAATAATTTATCATTACATACAGGATGGAGGAGCAGGGTTTTGAATGTAGTTCTGGAAAGGCCCGGAAAGACCGTAGTAAGTGAAACGTTCACAGAATTCAATGATAATAACAAGATAAGCAGAAATAGGAACTTTATCGGCAACTTCACGACAAGTTTGCCAATCTTCTTCGGTTGGCTCTGGGCCATGGTTGTCGTCTGCATGGTAATCAACCTCGTATTCAACTGGGCTCGGGACTCTGTCCTGATCTAATTTTTCAGACATCAAAAAGTTCGAAAAAAAAAAGGAAAGAAGAAGAAAAAAAATAAGTTTATTGTTTAAATAGTATGGCCCTGGGTTCATTTTCCGATGGTTACTCAAGCGTTAATGACCATTGAACAACGAATGATGTTGACTGACAAGCATAGTAACAAGATAAACCCCTAATTAAGTAGTCAAGTTTTCATGATAATTTTTATTAAGCCTTGTATTGTTCTATTCCTTTTTTAAGAAAGGGGTCCATTGTTTAACTTTTTAAGCTGAAAAGCGCAAAAATTTTTTTGTATTCAAGGGCAACATTTTGTTTGGAGTTACCTTATTTCCCAAAAAAGGAATATTATTTCGCTTGTCCACATGTCAAGGTTTTGCGATACAAACTCAGGCTATTGCAACATGTTTCTCACGTTAAGATCGGCTTTTTTTACTGGTTGCTGTTGTTTGTACTTGAAGCCGTGCGAGGGGCGGAAATACGGACCTGTCCAATGAAATTGTGTGTTTAAAACCTTATCTTTCCTTCTCCCGCAGATCTTTCGACAAAAGAGATAAGGGTTTACTTTTTTCATTGGTCACATGAACGACCCTTTTTGTATTTTATATTCCCTGTTGATTTATAAACGGAAATTCTTTCTAAAAGCATCCAAGGGAGCACTCTTTTTAAGCTTGTAAATAAAATAAACAAAATATTTAATAAAATAAACAAGAGATGTATAGTGCGACTCTATAGAAAAAGAGTGTACAACTCAGTCTATCGTGATGGGTTCTAAGAACGTACCATTTCTTTTTAAAAAAAAATACTACTCTTTTTGTCTATAGTCTCTTGTGATTAAATTTGGTTAGCTTCCCTTTTTTGACCGAATACAATACAAAATGAGAAACAACAACAAAAAAAGAGAAAGAGATGGAGTTTATTTTTTAATGTATTGATCTCGGTGAATGAATCAGTTACTATAGTGATAAACGCCTTAGAAATAACAATTGAAAGGGCCATGATTCCGTATACATGGATACTCTCACACAACCAAAGAATAAACAAAATAGGGAATTTTTTGCTTAAAACTTTCTCACGAAATCAAAAGTATACGCCTTAAAGATAAAGGAGGAAAGCCATGGTCTTGTAAAAAATTTTTGAGTAACGTAGTACATATTTTTATGTCAGCACAACGATTTACTATATTTTGACGCCTTTCTTTGTACTACTTCGTATTGATTTTTTATTGGATAAGCGATAAGACATTTTTGGATATAATTCGAAATTTATAAAAGAAGCAAGCACATTTGACTTTTTGGGTGATTCAAACTTGGCATCTTACAAAGTTGCTTATGCTGACGATATCCTAATTGGCTTATTTTTCGGATTCTTGGCACATTATTAATTGATATATTGTATATCCAGTCTATAAGCTTTATTCAACATGTTTGCTTCCATTCAAACTAAATTGATCCATGAAAATAGCTCAAAGCTTACAGGTGCAGTATTTTTACAAAAAGTTCTTAGACCTTTGACATGTTTGATGTGGATCATTATAATAACTCGGATATAATCTCATAGTAGAGCATACGCTCTGCTTTACATGCATCTATTGCATTAAATGATAAATAATCGCAATTGTTTTGATAATACTAGCTGCTTCCAATTCGCTACGCTCGTTTTTGCGCGTCGCCGTGCTGCCATAGGCTTAAGGACTTCGTCATTTGTGATGAGTAAGGACAAATGCTAGCACGACGCTTTAAGCGAATGACTAAGTTTGACTTTTTTTGTGCCTAACAACATACCTTGCCTCCGCTCTACATGCTTCTTCGTATTATTGGTGCAACAGCGCTATATAAACGGTTCCATAAAAGTATAGTTTATTCATAATAGAGAGTATGTGATTGAAATATTAGTTAATCATAATGATTTATGTATTGAAGAAGAATGACATAGTCGTAAAAGAATTCCTAATTGTTTGCATAGCATAATTGATTATAGGAATAAACTTGCTTGATGATCAAATGATGCGTTACATAAGTGGGCATATTGCAGTAGGACCTCGATTCTGTTAGCATTCCAAAATTGAGGTTATTCCAGAGTTCACACTCCGACAAAGCACACTGAAATAAACAGTCATGTATCGATTCTTCTCATAAAATCGTATTCCAGAATCGCGATTAATCCAGAATAGGGTATGACAGAATCGAGGTCTGATTGTACGAGATAAGAGCGAGATAATAGGAGTAGACTAAGTGTAATAACTGACTAAAATTTATTGAATAAAGTGTATGAATGCTTATACAAATTAGAGGAACATAAATGAGTGAGCTTATGGTTGCAAAGCCCTTTTCTTTTTAAAACGCATAATATAATTAGAAGACTAATGAATAAAAAAAACAACTTATTATTCAACGCTTTTTACTCTTCTTTCTATTGGGATTTTCTTTATTTGTAACGTATTCTATGTTGAATAATGAATAATAAGCAGTGTCTACACATCAATAACAAAAAGCCCAGTAATGTAACTGACCAATTACAATAATAATAATTACAATTCCATGTAATAAGCGTAACTATCACTTTTAATATCTTTATCTTTTTCTCTTTCAAATTAATGGCAAATTCTTTTCAACGACCTTCTTACATATAAGCGTTTTATATGGCTAAACAGACAAGAAAACACGGGTGGCTTAAGGCCGGATGGAGCAATGATCAGCATCCCGAAAAAATCAGAAGTCGTAACTTTAGGCTATTATGAAATGAGGTTTTCGGATATAAGGGCCAATTTGGAGTTGGCATTTGCTGACTTGGTCAGAATGTCCACTCTTTCCCGTGGCTTCGTGCTAAAGAAAGAAAATAAAAAAGCTGTCACCATGCAAGCTGTTAGATATAGAACTGTTTTCTATTTTGCTAAAGAAACTTTCCCAAATGTTACTACTATGACTAAAACCTTATCTTTCGGTGTACCGAAGACAACTGTGCTCTTGGAGATTGAAGCAAATTTGCCATTTGTATAATACCAAATGTCAGCCTTGGTATAAGCATGCAAGGTCTTTATCAATTAGTACAGATGCTTGTATCAATCCAAAGCGCCACAATGCAAGAACACCCACTTTTATTTGTTGTATTCTCTGTTATTTCTCACTCTCTTTCTGTTTTTTAAAACGAATAATATTTTATCATATCCTAGTGCAATCAAAGTAGAAGATTGATCACTAATGTGATCATGACGTCCTTTCCTTTTTTGAGAGTGAGATATCTACTGCGAAAGTTGAGATTAAAGAACTGTCTCTGAGAAAGCATCACCTCTCTTCCTACTACACCATCAGGTCTAACGCTGGCAAATTCACCATAAGGGAGGTGGTGATAGAAAGTAGCTGTACTTGCTTAAACACAACGTATATAGTTTAAATCAGTGTAGAACAAGAGAAGGGTCAATCGGTCCCAAAATGGTACAGAGTACAGGTACGAGGTAAGGATTCACAAAGTGACAGGATATTTTCTATTTCTCTTTAATCATGTGTCTGTAAAGCTGATAGTCACCGTAATTCAAGTGATTACACATACTCAGCGAATGTATCAGCGCATGACCTTTTATTTGATAACTGCAATATTCATTTTTATTATTCCCTCTTTTGAGCATATAAACCGTATAAAGTAACACGTAAGACTGAATGTCTTTCATACATCTATTACTATCTCTCTCTCTTTTTCTTTTGTACAACTCTAAATTATTCCGAAAGATTGAATCATTTTGTCTCAAAATGACAATATACGGCGAGAAATATTCTATAGCTAAAACACTCAACCTTGGATATAATTGAAAGCCGTGAGAGCTTAATGTTTCCTTATTAAGCTAATTTACACAGATTTAGATTAATAGTCTTAAAAAAATGAGGTATCACCAACAAAAAACATTTGGTTCTTGGTGTCCAGACTAAAGTCCTCTTGCCTTTTTTAAGCTTTGAACAATAGTAATATTTTAATTCAGCAAGCAAACTGTTCGTTCCTACCAAAGTTCATCAATAGCATGATGCCAAGTCTATCCACGTCTTCACTTGTTTGTAATCATAAAGCTATTACAATATACAGTCATTCTTTTGATGATATCTGGTATTTATGACTTGTAGAATTAACAGCTGTCTATAATTGACTACAAGAGACTGACAGTGCAAAGCATCAGTAAATATTAGAGCTTTAATAAAGATATGAGATACAAAAGATTTGAGGAGAGGGTACCAATGATGAGCCTCATTAAAAATTACCGAATATGAAAAGTCATAGTGCAACATAAACTCAAATTAAAAAAGCCCATCTTTGACAGAGAGCAAGGCTTATACAATAGAGATCATGTCTCAATCAGGACGTCGATATAATGGGAAATAACAGTGAGCATCAATCTGCTGTTGATGAACAGGATGCGCTTTTATATAATGCTGGCTGTATCCTTGTAGTTTTCATACAGCTTATTTAATCATATGACCTTTATTTGGAGCACAAGTGAAATGAACATTATTTGTATCAGAACACAAACCTTTCTGAAGAAACAACAAGTTCGTATCATTTTATATACGATGACACCTTTTTATGTCATTTGTTTTATTTTACTCTTCTGGCGGAAATTATCCACAGAGCACACTGATTTCGTTATCAGGCGCTTTAGCTTCTAGTCTAAAGCCCTGTTTTTAGTGGTTAATGATATGTTTAACCACTTTAATCTGACCAGCCACCTATGCAAATGCGATCACATAATGATTGTAGCCTGTATTTCATACAGTAGTACGATTCCTAAATGTACGTATACTCTCTTTCGTCAGCTGTCCATTTTATTTTTGTACTTTGTGACTCTTTAAAGGTTACGATACTCTGTAATACATTCACGTAAAGTTGAAAATCGTCTCAATTTCATGAAAGCTGATAACTAAAATGTATTTATCTTTATTACATACTACTGGGGTGTATTTTTATCTTTGGACACTTCCGGCCACTTTCTTCACTCTCTCTTGAATCCTCGTTTGATCTTTGAGATAATGATTGAGTTCTACATTCTCATTAAAGTAAGATCATCAATGTTGCTGTCATATGTCTTCAGGAGCACCTCAATCAGTAGAATTTTGCCCTTCGAGGGTTTTCTTTTGATCCTTATCTTATCGGCTTTGATATCCTCCAATATTTGCAAAGCCCTTATTGCTCCCCAAAGGTTTTGAGACCAAGGTCTTTGTAATATTTGATACTGAGCAGCATTTGCCGCAGCTCTTTCTTTTCTGGCGTGTATTCACCATGTGGTACTAGACAGGTAAACTTAGAGCAAATGGTGGCATATCCGGTAGGCTCAATGTCATGCAATTAAAGTGAGCGAGAGGTGTTGAACCCCGTATCATCAAAGAGGCTTGCTTTGAAGTATCAGTTGAATAGACTGCTTCTTTTTTTTATAACTACGCAGCATTCGTGGACATGTAGTTTCTAATGCTGGTTATGTAAGGGAAAGTAAGATAAAATTGTTATCACATGCCGTATGCGATGGCGCGACAACACCAAGGAATGTTCCAAGCTTGCTTATATCACCCTCTTCGCTATACAAGCCTCCAGTTGTGATGATCTCAAATTGCTGATAGGTAAAGCATAGCTCAAACCAATTTCCACGGCCCTCTTGGCGTTTCTTCATGGTTATTTCGAGCTGGTTCGAATACCTGGCATGTTTGTTCACCATAGCCGCGTCATCAATTTCGGTATCCTTGTAATAAAATTTGATTTGATGTTGTCGAAGAATAAATGGTTTTACCTCAGAAACATAAGAATGGAATAAGATGGAAAAAGTTCCTTTGTAATCATTTATAACCTAAGAAAAGGATGAGATTTATGTCAAGAAGGGAACTAAACTGATCTTTATATGCAAGAATAAATGCTGTCAACCAATTACATCTTAGATATGACGCGTCATCAGATACTACAGACTATAGATGCTATGAATCACCGTTACGGGCATTATGTTGATATTTAAGATGACTTTGGCTTCTTTACAAAATACATATTGTTTATTTGACGTCAAAAGGTGTAATCTTCTTTAATGTAAACGTAGAAATACGACAAAAGTTCCTCGAATTGCTGGTCGACAGCGACTCGTACAAGGGAAGGAATATGCAATCTCTTTTGGCGTTAGCTCTGACGAACTTGCTAATTCACGTTTTTGTCCCTTGATATCACGACTACGTATAATGTTAGTATGAGCTAAAGTATTGCTATCATACTTTATAAACTATTTACACAACCACGAAGAAATTTTTGCCACGAAAAATCTTGACAACACCAAATAGCTCTCTCATCTCGTTATCAGCGACGTAGATGGTGGTAACTTTGTTTGATATATGTTCAACAAATTTAATAGCATTGTTCATATAATTAAAGTGCATACTGGTGATATCGATTGAACAAAGATTTTTGAAACTTTGCAAATAGTCATAATTAATACGTGTGTCTACAATACGTAGTGAACGACAGTTGTGAACAAGAATTGAACGTTTGGATAGTGTCTGCGTTCGATTGTATACACAGTATTTGCCAGAGGATAGCTGCTAAAGATTTCATATAGCCTTTAATTTGTTATACACAGAGAAAACTTCTCGCGAAGGTTTAAGTGGGTGTAAACTATCTTTGTGATATTTGTGCTTATATTACTTCAAACAGTGGAGAGTCTAAAAAAAAGCTATTAAATGTAAACGCGGCTTAAATGTTTATGAAGGGTGACGACTATGTCGTCTATCAACTGAAAATAAATAAAGAGATGCATGACCTATGTAAGCACGACAGTCCTGAGAGTATCTCTAATGATAAAAATGGTTGATGTATTAAGGCTTGTGAGAAACAAAGGATATAAATATTATTTCTCACATTCTCTCTATAAAGTTCTGAGATCAACAATAGAGTATCTTTTGGGACAGACGTGTTTAACTTACACGATTCTGTTTGCATTTACATAGCAGCTGTCCTTCCTCTTTTTATAAAAGGTTCTTGAATGCTCTCTCCATGTTTTTCTCCAGTCGACACTACCGTTACCCAGTCACAGGCTCCAAGAGCGTCAGTTGTTCATTCATGTCAGTACAAGATACTTAAGGTAGAAAAGGATAACTTTTTTATTCATTAGTCTTCTAGTTACTGTATTAATTTACTGTACAAATATATAAATGAAAGAGGGATATGTGTGTATTTACAACTTTCTCTCTCTAATGTCTCTATTTTGCATTCTGAAAATCACTCTTTAATGCTTCTATAGCAGATTTTGTACCAAAGATAAGGCCGACAATACCAAGTAGAACAACAAGGAAACAGAGGAACAGTTCAAAGATGGACTTGTTTCTGATGCCTGTCAGCTTGAGATAAAATAAAATAGGAAAGATGAGGATAAGTGCACAGTTGGAGAAGGCACCAAGTAAAGACATAAAATCGCCAAAGTAGGGAACAAAGATGGCAATCACAGCAATAATTACCATCAAGGTTACACGGACAACAGTACGGAGGAACCATTCGGTGAGCTTGGAGTGATTAAAGGATGAGATACCAAAGAGTTTTTCAAGATCCAAAGCAAAGGATGTCATCAAGATAGGACAGGCCATCAAAACATGTACTGTGATGATCACAATCGACGCAATCTTGGCTGCTCCGTCTGGAATATTGTTATAGACTGGCGATGCGGTACTGTCTCCGTAGACATAGTAGCCAGGAATAGCAGTTAAAAAGTAAAGGCCGGAACAAGTGGCTAATCCAGCTGTGATGACCTTATTCCAATTCTGAGGGTGTTTCATGCCTGCTTCGACGTGGGCATAGACTGGATTTCCACCTATTTTAAGCATAATTAATTACGACCCCCTGGAGCTGACTAGAAAATTAATTACCAAAACTGAACGTAATTGAACTAAGAGCAATAGGGAATTGGTCCCAAATGACGTTGTGATGTTCCACATTAGGATAGTTGACTTTATCCTGAAGAGCAACCACGACAACGATGAGGACAACAACAACAGTGGCCAACATACCAAAGGCACTCAAGACGCCAACTTCTTTCATGGATCTAAAGAAAAGGAAAGGAATCGCAACGATGACAGAACAGATGATGACCCAAATAGGAAAGTTCAGTTCGGCTCTTGTCCCCTCACAAACCTTATGCAGGTTTTGACCAGCCAATAGCAAGTAAAGCACGGGTACACCAATAAGAGTGACAGCAGTAAAGAAAAAGGATAACCAGCCTCCGATTGGACCAAAGGCAGCTTCGGCCACTTCTTGGTAAGATGACAGTCGAGTCTTTCCATTGTGATATAAGCATCGAATTAAAACAACTCCAGAGTCTATAAAAGCTGTTTAAGCATATGTGGAGGGTGATGTATCGTATTGTATTTTACATGTTGAAAATAACCAACTAAGGCCAAGGATAAACAAACCTATAAAAAAGAGTTGGAACTTATCAAAATAATAAACAATGACTGTTTACCTATCCATCCTCCTTGTTTTAATGAATAAGGTAGACCAAGTGCACCTGTACCAGCTACAACACAAACAACATTAAAATAGGCCAAGAAGGATGAACCACCTTCGTTATTCGTATCAACACCATGACTGAAAGAGACAGTTTCATGTTCGATTTCAGCTATTATTTTAAGAAAAGAGGGTGAGTTTAAGCTATTGTGATGGTTGATCATGGGATGGTGTTACAAATAATGCTGTCAGATTGGCAATTATCTTGAGCTAATTTGAATGATTTCTCATCCATATTTCGTAGTTCAGCACTCATTAAAAGCTCAATTCAAAGAAAAGAGAGAGAAACAAAATGAGCGGAAAGAGAAAAAAATGTTTTTTCTGGCCCTTTTTTCTTTTTTTAAATTAAGGTGAGTCATCGGAGAAGTGGGAACTTTAACATCCAATCTCAAGTTCTCACGATACAACATTTGAATGTAACTATATACAGTCGATGAGTTTACAAAGGCTGGTACTCAAGATATAGTTATGATGTTCATTTTTATATCAAGTTACACTGATTCGTGTAATATCACAAAGTCACCTAGTGCTCTTGGGGTGTATTGGTAGCACCTTTATTTTGTATCATTCTTTTCCAAGGATACATAATGACATGATTTATTTTTCATGATGTCCGTTTCAGACAACTAATGTTCATAGTTGATATCAGTACGAAATAGTTACCATTGTGCTTATAGATTCACCTACTTTCTCCTTTTTT